TTTCTTTTTGCCCCCCCCCTCCCCGGCCTCTCTTCGGCCATTTTGATTATTATGTATGCGTATTATTCATTTATTTGCCCTCCCCCGCCCCCCGCGACCGACCGACCTACCCGGAGTAAATTGAACGCTGATTATATCAGCGTTCCTAGTTCGGAGCTTTTTCTTCCTATTAATTAAAAACCGCCCCTCCCCTCCCCGCCCCAGCCGGATACCTCAGGGGGCCCCTGGATCCCTTCAGCCCCCACCAACCATTTTGAAGTTCCGTTTCCAGTTCTATCTTCTTTTTTTTTTTATTTTTAAGGGCGCTTTCGTTCGCTCGATCTCTCCTTTCGCCGACGGTTTCCGAATGAATATCGATAGCAAAAGGGAGAAAAAATTCAATGGACCACCAAGCGAAGTCAGAAAAGAAGTAAATATAGTGCGAGTTATTTTATCACGATCTCAGGTAGAATATAGTAATAAGAGAAATTGGCGTCAGTATGTTTAGTTCCAAGGTGCCGCTTGTCAAAAGAAAAAATTTTTCTTCAATGAAAGTATGAGTAATATTTCTTCGTGTGGATTTTTATTTCTCTTGTTTGAAAGAAGTTACCTCAGGTACTAGTTTTTTTTTGACTGATTTTGAATTTTATTTTCATTGGTATCCATCTGACGATAACTGGATTTCCAGCCGAAATGTTTTGGTTTTATTAATAAATCGTGTTTTAAGCTTGACAACCGCGGTTCTTGTTTTCGCTTTTTGTGTTTTATATTTGGAGCTATAGATCCACGAGGAGCTATAGATCCACTGATCAATCGAAGAGGAGGTAATCCTCCAGATTACCTCCTCGATATCGAAGGAATCCGATATCAAATTGCATAAAACTGAAAATCGAGTGTAAAATATTTTTTTAAAAACTACCCCTCGAAGTCTCAAGCTGGGTCAACTGACCCTACTATCTTCTCTGGAAAAATTATCGTATGTGACAATATTCATACGAGCTTTTGATATAGATCTAAAAACACATCCTAAAAAAGAGTCAGACATCAGACTGAAAAACAAAAAAAACGAATGTCAACGCAGCTAAAGATAGAAAAAACGTATTCGGGTTACGTTTTTTAAATTTCCTCTGAATCTGAGCGAAATCTCATTGGTAATACAGAGCGGAGCCTTGCCAGTTCACGCCATGTGGTATCGCGCCTTCAATTTTACAGACGCAACACGGACATCCATTGAGCACGAATAGTTGTATCTCTGCGCCGTCATCAATGCGCGTTGTTTCTCTTGCTCTACTTTCATGCTTCCTTGGTTCCGTCTGTCTTATTTGTAGAAGTGCTTCAAGAACCACGTGAGCAATACATCCAAAGATAGGAGGGCCGTATGATCGGGCCTCGTTTCTCCTCTTTTTCCCCCGAATTTGAGTGACACCTCATTGGCTGCATAGAGCAGAGCATTGCGAGTCCACGTCTCACCGTAGCGCCTTCAATTTTGGCGACGCAAAACGGACATCCATCAAGCACGAATAGTTGTATCTCTGCTCCGTTGTCAACGCGCATCCTTTCTCTTGCTCTACTTGCATATTGTGTTGGTTCCGCTTGTCTTATTAGTAGTGGTGCTTCGAGGGCTGTGTGATCAACACAACCGAGATAGGAGAAACGTAATTTGGCCTCGTTTCTCAACTTTTCTTCCGACTCCAAGCAACAACTCATCGACAGCATATAGCGGAACATTGCGAGTCCACGTTTCACGCCATCGCGCCTTCAATTTTGGCGACGCAACACGGACATCCATCAAGCACGAATAGTTGTATCTCTGCGCCGTCATCAATGCGCATCTCCAAGCAACAACTCATTGGCAGCATTCAGCGGCGAATTGCGAGATCAGCAGTTCAGCAAGAGGAGCTCATTCAATTAGTTAACAGACAACATGCACAACACTCCGTTACAATTGGCATAATTTTAGTGTGCGATTAAAATTTACTGCAATCTGTATCAGTGCACTATTTGTCGAACAGTTTTTTTATCTTTATTTTCGAATGAGACCAGAGGAAAAATCCGTGGAATTTTCAGTCAGAAAAGACCAAGATTCTCCTGGTAAATTTAAAATTTGCAGGGGGCTGAGGGGGGGGGGGTTGGCAACATTGAAATGTAGTTTCGTTCTTTCGTTAGGGAAACAGCGGAATGTGCCCAACTGATGCTTCGCAAAGATACCGACTGCGGGCTGATTGTATAAATTGATAGACAAGGCGATAGACAAAGAAGGCATAGGGAGTATGGAGCGATCCTATTGGTTGTAATGAGTGGCTCTCACGGACGTAGGGAGGAAATGATGGACTAACTATAGAGTCTCTCGTGGGTTGCCTTCTTTGTCAATTGCAACCACCCGTTTCCACATATACCCGTTTCCGTATGTTCCACCTTTTCTGATCTCTCCATATCCTTTTTGTCTTCCTTATCTATAGCTTTGTCTAACAATTTCAAGTATCGGCCCTGAAGCTACGCAAAGATACTGACTGTCAGCCGCAACACAAAGTATATTGGCGATTTTCGCCCCTATAGATCATTTAGATTCACCTCATTCGGGCCTCCTTTTTTTCGAGACTGCAAATGAGATCCACGCGAGGGTAGAGCCGAAATTAGTTCTCAGCATCTTCACATCCCCTCTAGGAACGTTCGACGTTAACCGTGTTGCAAATAAGGCACCCGTTATTGGGGTGGCTCTGGCGCGTTGCGGCCACGGTGGTGATGAGGTGGTTTTCCCTGCCCCCCACCCCGCTCTTGAAACGTTCCTCCACAAATACACTACACATACGGTTCCCGCCTGCCTCCAGGGGGATCCCCCCTCCCTTCGTTTATATTTTTCCCCTTCGATTGAGCGATGATTTTTTCGCTTTGTTTTTATTTAAATTTTTTGCGGGCGTTTTTCCGAGCCGGCTCGTTAATCGGGGTAATCGGACGAGGCGGGCCCCGCGGGACAGGATTTTCGAATCGTGACAAGCGTGTGGGTGAGTTTTCTCTTGCAGTTGATCGACACTTGTTTTCCGACTGATTTGTCACGGAGTAGCGGTTTAAATCAAGCATCTAGGGAATACTCCCCTTTAACTTGAATTATGATGGATGAAGCGTACGTGTTGTGTATCGGCGTGGTTTCAGGTGACCTGTCAGTGCGACCAAATTATTTCGTCCTTTAAAAATGGAGATTACCTACAAATCTTGCTTCGCAGCAGCCGCAAACTAGTTGCTATTTTGCTTAAGAGCGGAACGGAAAAGGAGGGGTGTCGCTTTTACTTTCATCCGATTACTCTACGATTTTTTGCGCAGTGAAGATCTATAATTTACAAAATGCATCATGATAGGTCATTTCGGGTCCATTCGGATCTAACATTGGCCTAAAGATGTGCCTAAGGGTCGATTTGGGCCCAAAATGTTAATTTTTCAAAATTAAACCGCAACCCATATTGTCCGTCAAAATTGGAATTTAGACCCATGTTTAGGCCAATAATAGACCCAGAAAGAGACCGAAAATGACCAAACCCCAACGTATTCCATAAAATTACAGATCTCCAAGGAGCAAAAATAAGGTTTAAAATTTCAGCCGGAAACGGCCCTTATCGACATTGCCGTGCTAAAGAAAAACGCCATATAAATATTCGAGAGTTACCAAATCTTCTCTGGCAAAATGTTCATTTTTGAGGAAAGTTATGCTTATTTTTTCTTGAAATTTTCAAACGATGTAGCATCGAAAATACATTTTATGAAAAAAAATCGAAGAAAAATATCCACAGATTACTCTGAGAATTCCTATTTTATCAAAGAAAATTTGGCAAATTTTGAGAGCTCGTACGGCGTTCTCCCTCAGCAGGGCTAGACACCCCTCCATCGAAAAAAATCTGCGCAAATGAAAAAGATGTGCGGGATGTGAAGTTCCCGTCGCGAGCTTTTTGGTCCGAAATGGAAACTACCCGGGAAGTAGGTCAAAATCAAGAGGCTCCAAATCGGCGCAAGTTGGGCGCCAGGGGCATGCGGAGGCCCCTTCTTCGGCGGCGCTCCCCTATTGTTACCGGCCGCAGCGCGGCGCGGCGCTTTGTCCCGTGCGACTCACGAACTTATACCTCGTCACCTGTTCCGCATTTCCGCACACATCCGCATTCAAGACGCCGCCAAGTCCCCTCGTGGTCCGGTGCCCGCCACGCGCCCTCCAACTTGGACGTGTGTATGCAAAAATGACCTATGTGCATAGGAGTCGCGTGTAACATAATTCCTTTTAGCATAAATACGTCCAGTTGGACTATCGCCTTGTCCCCTTGGCCTTGTGGAAGCCCCTCCCGCTAATCGAAAACCCACCTCCACAGCGCGTCCACCCTTCCATTATTATTCGTCTCGTTGCAGTCCGCGAGGTTTTTTTTTCTCTTGTTTTTTTTTTTTTTTTTTTTTTTTTTTTTTGGTGAGGAGGAACGGTATGTTTTGTCTGACTGCGCAGTGGAGATTTCGTTTTGAGAAAATAAAGAC